TTCTGTAGATTTTTCTTCTGCTAATATTTCAAATTACTTTTTAGCAGTTCCGGGTCAAATTCCTTTATGTTATTAATTATCAAATTAAATAATTTTAATGAAATAGATACTATTTAAGTTAATAAAAACAAAATTGTTTTCCAAAATTTAAAGAGCTATGTCTTAGTTAGGGTTTCTATTACTGTAATGCAATGCTGTGGCCATGGCAACTATTATAAAGGAAAGCATTTAACTGTGTTACATTTCAGAGGTTTAATCCATTATCATCATGAAGGGAAGGATGGCAGCACACATCCAGACCTGTTGCTAGAAAAGGAGTGAAGATGTAATTGAGGATCATCGGCAAGCAGGAAGAGAGAGTGATACTGGGTCTGGCTTGAGAGTCTGAAACCTCACCTAGTGACACACTTCCCTCAAAAAGCTACACCTGCTCCAACAAAGGCCACACCTCCTAATAGTGCCACTCTCTATAGCCCTGTGGAGCCATTTTCATTCAAACAACCACAAGCTACTAGCAGATTTTAGACATTTTACACTACAATGTAGAGTATGTATAATGCTTTATTTATGACTCTTTACACCCAAACATGCTTAAAAATGAGTTCAGAATTTCATTGACTAATATTTTAACTATTAGAGATTTATTCTGATAGTCTATTCTATTTCATTTTAAAAGTTGTGGTCATAGCCAACCAAATTAAGATCCACACTCCTTTACAATAGTTTGAAAGACATGGATCAACAGTTTTTTTAAATTAATCAAAGCAACATTAACTCTTTTTTATAATACAGAATAGAAAATTTACCATACAGAATAGAAATTTATTCCTATTCAGTTAGAAAAATATTCATTATGGTTCATGCATCAATCCATGTTCTATTTGTGTAACAAAATATTTGAGGTTAGTCACATTATAGGGGGAGAAATGCTTGTTTATCTTTCAGTCTAGGGAGCCAAAGATAAGAATCAGGCAGTCCCCTCCATTCATCTTCAGGGTTGGTGGCATAATAATTGTGGAGCAGGTTTAGAAGAGATCACATGACCAGAAGCCATAGAGATCCAGCACCCAGGCTTGCTCCTTTTGTACAGTGGGCTTTCTCTGGAGCTGGCATCTTATGAAAAGTACATTAATCCCTTTTCAAGGAGGAATTCTTGAAGTTCTTATCACCCTCTACTTGGCAGTATCTCCTAAAGTTCTACTGCCTGGACACTGACACAGTAGGGTCAAAATCCCAGCATTTGAGCCTATCTTCCTATTTGGATTTGAGCTATGAACTCATTTGTCTGTTTACTGAAAGAGGGTCTCCTGTAGCTCAGACTGGCCTCAAATTCACTGTAACCAAAGGTAATTTCTGATCCTTTTGCTTCAACATCTACAGTGTTTAGATTACAGGTGTGAGCCACCTTTCTGGTTGTATAAACTCTTAACAAGTTTTCTCATTGCCCTTTGTCCCCATGTACTACAGTTTCCTTTTAAAATTATATTGCATCGAAAAGTCAGGATAAATTTGGATCTCACTTAACATATGAGTCCAAACAGAAATATATGCCTTTAAAATCTAGGAGTGTTTCATTTTAGCCATGGAAAACTTTACACAGTTTCAGTTTTTAATTTTGTTGCTTAGGTTTTAAAGAATTCTTTTGAATACTTACAAAGTGTGGTTGGTCACTTAGCTTGGAATGGATTCCAAGCTTGCGGAATTGCCAGAAGCCTACATTCCATCTCTCAAAGACAGCAAGCTGCCTTTCTGTCCTGCAGAAGGATAAATACCAACAAAAGCATTTTTCCTAAGAAAAGACTTACTCAAAGCCATACTTTCCTAAGTTTAAGAAAGAGGAGTCACCGCTGAAGAACTGCAGTGATGTCGTATAATTTTGATCTCACAGAAGTGGCAGAATGAGGAAATTCTGGAATGAGTAAGTCTGCTGGTAGAGCTGTGTGACCTGGGCTGAAAAGTTCAAGATGTTCTCTGCATATTCAAGACTGGGCATTGTACTCACATTGGACTTCTAGTTGGCTCCCTCTGTTTCCTGGGCAACCAAAATATTTATAAATCGATCTAGATGGAAAGTGTAAAATCTTAACTGGGTGCAATAAATGGTTATTTTGACTAGCACACTTGATTGCTAAGTCTTTTGTTGATTTCTGAGATGTCAAGTACTCTAACATTGTGAGTGCTGATGGGAATTCAAACTGGAGCAACCCTATGGAAATCAGTGTGGAGGTTTCTCAAAGAGCTGGAAATAGATCTGCAAGAGCCAGCTATGTCACTCTTGAGTATATGCCCAAAGGACCTTGCTACAGAGATACTTGCTCATTCATACCCAGAGCTAATCTAGTCATAAGAGCCAGGAAATGGAAACAGCCTAGATGTCCATCAACTGATGAGTGGATAGTGAAAATGTGATACTTTCATGCAATACATTATCATTCAGCTGTTAAGAAATGTGAAATTTGTAGGTAAATGATGTAATTGTAAACAGTCATACTGAGTATGGTAACCCTGACCTAGAAAGACAAGTATCAAATGTTTTCTCTCATATGTGGATATTAGCCTTTAAACTTTAGATAAGTAGTTTTCAGAAATTAGGAAACTAGTAAGGGGTCATGCGGGAAGATGGACTATTTCAAGGAAGGGGATATAGAATATAGGAATATAATCAGGAAAGGGAATGATATAAAATGGGGTAGGTGATAGGAGGGCGGGTAGATGAGGGAATATGAGGAGGGCTATTTTAGATATATAGAGTTTAAATGTAGCTTACCTATAATGGGGGGACAGTAGCACAGCTGTACTTGATACGACCCTCCTCTCAAGGCTAAGGGATCATTGTGGATGAAGTAGTGAAGGGATTTTAACAGCCACAGGTTCAAGGAAGCACACATGAACTCAGAAGTTGGAACAGTGTGTACAAGACCTATGTGTAAGGCTCACTGAGAAGTCACATTAGCTACCCAAGGATGTTTCTTTCATAAAGTTGAAATCATTTATAATTGCTGCCACACAAGATAATTACTAAAACACATAACTGCCTTTATGAAGCAACATATGCAGTCTGACATCCAGTATTTCATCAACAAATGTGGTTTTTATCCTTTTGATTTTTCTTTAATATTTTTTTCTGTTTTTCATGTTTACATATTCTGTGGAAAAATACTACAATTTTTTTCTCTCTTCTAAAGAGACCATTATATTTTTCTCTGGACGCTGAAAGGTTCAGCTGTTTTTCAGGTCAATGAAAAAACCCATTCAAAATTTCTTTTGAATTTTAAACTGCCTAGCAACCAGAGTGAAATTTTGGCATTTCTTATGTTGTCAGCTGAGCATGAATTCATAGACATTTCCAGGAATGGAAGAAATATACTAGTGAACAGAGGGTTATTTCTTCATTCTCTACATAACCTTAAAAAATCATCTTGGATTCTCCAGTTTGAAATACTTTATGATATTAGGGAATAGTGTTTTATAACTGACATATTTAATTGCTATACTTTCAGGGATGAACAGAAAAATTTATATGATCATATAAATTAGAAATTTGGACATAACAATTGTAATGTAACAATTTTTCTATACTTGGGCTTAAGCTGAGCACCTCATGCATGTCCATAATTGTTCTATATATCCCCATCATTCATAGACATCTTAAATAAATTAAAATGAGAAGAAACTGGTGTAAACAAATTCCACATTGCATATTTTTCATGCATATTTTAACTTATACAATTTTAAAAATTATTGTATTCAAACTCTTGTGGTGGATGTGCTTTGAGAACCATCTGTACTCTTTAACTTTATTTTATTTTGCTGTATGTAATTCACTGGTACTTGATTTCAATTTGACTAGGAATTAAATATTTGGCTAGTTCAAAAGAAAGTTGCCAATTCAAATTTTATACAATTGCTCATATATTTATTGTATGTTATTGCTCTTCTAAAATTTATATGTAAATATACTCCTAATAAATACATTGTGTTGTGTGATAATCTTTTTGTACACTGTGAAGATGTGTCTTTGCCAAGGCACCTTCTAATTGGTTTAATAACGAGCTGAATGGCTAGTAGCTAGGCAGGAGAGGATAGGCAGGACTTTCGGGAAGAGATAGGAACTCTGGGAAGAAGAGAGGAAGAATTCATCAGCCACACAAGGAGGAAGTGGGGTGCACAGTACTGCGCAGAGGTAACTAGACGTGTGGCAGGACATAGATCAATATAAACAGGTTGGGAACAAGCCTAACCTAAGGCCAAACTTTCATAATTAATAAGAAGTCTTCATGACATTATTTGGGAGCTGGCAGTCCAAAGAAAGTCAAACAATAGTATTGAGATTTAGAGAACTTGAATTCTAAGGTCACATCAGTCGTTGACATGGCAGTAGTATTCGATTCTACTCCCTGGATCACCAGATACTAATCTTAACAATACTAGACAATTTACTTATCCATTCTAACTCAAGAATAATTTAAAGTACGTTAAAATACATAGGCATTTAAATTCTACTGACAGCTAAAGAGAAGACATATCCAGATGTGCTGTACTGCCATGGTACCAGACAGGAAGTGCCTACCCCCTCATGTGCAGCAACAAATAACATCTGTAGACCATCTCATATAACTCAAACCCTGCACATAAAATATGGAATGACCCCACATATCTTACTGTGTATTTTGATTCTAGAGTCAGTGTAAGTTTTCTGGAATAATTTCATTGAAACAATGAAAACTTTTTTTGTTGTTTTTTTCAAGACAGGGTTTCTCTGTATTGTTTTGGAGGCTGCCCTAGAACTCGCTCGGTAGACAGGCTGGCCTCAAACTCACAGAGATCTGCCTGCCTCTGCCTCCCGAGTGCTGGGATTAAAGGCGTGCGCCAACAATGCCCGGCGAAACAATGAAAACTTTTGTCAACTACTTTTCCATCTGAACCTTCACCATGAAAAGACTAGATTATTTAAAACAAAGCTAGATATGAAAATAAAGTTATGAATGAATACAAGTGACTTAAAAGCTTTTTAAATAAGAATTTAATTGTCCAGTTAAAATTTAATGCCATGAGATCAAGTTTACTTAACTGCTATGAAATGATTATAGCAATGAAGAACTTAAGTGGCTTTGACATCAAGTAGGCTAACAGCAGCTTTTATTTGCAGAGCTTTCTGTGGCATGCCCAGCTTCCTTGTCACAGGTCATCTGATTCTGGCACCATGGTGTCTTCTGTAGGTTCAGTTGTTATCACCACAGGAATATTTTCAGATATCCATCCCTTTGGGGTCCTGTTAAAGGACCGTCTGCCTGAAAGAGGGTTGGCAAAGGCCATGAACCTGGGATCTGTTAGCAGTAGTAGTTCAAAATCTGGAACTTTGAATTTAACCATTTTCGATGCCTTTTCAAAACCTCCAAATGGAGTGGCAACTCTGTGGGAATGAAAAGAAAAGCAAATAATAATTAATATTCATTTGTATTTGTCATAAAATGCATAAAAGAATCTCTTAATTTTACGGACCTGTTATTATGGACTCTAACTGATATATTTTAGCTTGAGACCTCAGAATCAAGCATTTTCATTGAAGGTCCATGCATTGGTAGTAAAACTGATAAATGACAAATTACTGTGACTCCCCTTTGTAGGTACTCTTAGTTTTGGATAAATCTGCTCCCTGAATCATTACAAGCAATTCTTGCTTGCGCCTGTGCTTTTGCTGTCTGTTGTATTTAATGCCGATGGCATTTCAGTTCTATCTTCCCTCCAACTACCCCAGCCCACACTTCCTTCATTAGATTCCTGTGGTAGGAGTTGTTTCTATTTAACCATGTTGTACTTGGGGTATTTGTTTTGTTCATGTATGTTTTAGAGACTATCATTTGTTTAGGGTCATCTATAGATTCCAAACTCTTTGAAGGTAAGAAATGTGTCTTGTGTATGTTTCTTTCTTCATCTTAGAAATTTCAAAATTTGCAAAAAGAGGTCATGAGTTTGAAGGAGAGCAGGGAGTGGTATATGGGAGGATTTGGAGGGAGGAGAGGGAAGCAGGAAACGTCATAATTAAAACATAATCCCAAAACAAACAAACAAAAGATTTCAAAATTCCCCCATTTATAATAAAAGTCTAACCTCTATCGTTGCATACAGTATCTCACATAAATTTCTGACTTATTTTATGTTAGGCATTATTTGCTCATTCACTGCCAGGCACAGTTCTAAATGAACGACGATGTGAATAATACAGTTTCAGATCTCACATGCAGGAGACATAACACGAAAATAAGCACAGCAAACATCTAACCGTGGTGAACTGTGTAGCAGAGTTAAATAGGACGATGTGTGAATAACTGAGCATTTAGTTTCTTTAGACTGAATGATCAATGAATATTTCTCTGGGGGAAAATGACATTTCAAATACCTTCTGAAGACAGAGTTTACCCATTAGAATTTGGCCAATGCCCAGCAACATGTCCACTATAGAGAATAGCCAAAGGCAGATAAAATATTGGAAGTTCAGGGAAAGGAAGATTAGCAGATGGAGGCAGGGGAGGCACACAGGCTGATTGTGTGGGAGTCTGTCTAAGGAGGAAATTCAGGGACAGAAGAGATGGCTCAGTGGTTAAGAGCACTTCCTCTTCCTTCAGACCAGAGTTTGGTTCCCAGCACTAGTATCCTGTAGGACACAACCACTTGTAACAATATGACCTAGTTAAACTTTGTAGTGGGAAATCTAGTTGCCGTGTGAACAGATTATAAGAAGTCAAGAGAGGCAACCCGTTTGTATTATCTGTGAAGATGATAGACCAAGTGGTTCAAGGTCTGTTTTGGAGCCAGATGGGCAGCATTTCCTTATAAATCAGATAAAATATAGGAGCAATGGGAACATCAAGGGCAACACATGGATTGAGAGTTTTAGCAACTAGCAGGTTCAAAGTTGGGAACTTTTTGACTGGCGTGGGTGGGAACATGACTTGGACATGCAAGTGAGGGGACAGTCACACTGTTTGCCAGGTTCACTTTCCTGTACACTTTGCTTTTGCCAATTAGGAAAGTGATTGCCCTTGCTACTTGTGCTCATGGTCATGTTTCCTCTCCCCCCCATCCACTCCCCCCTCCCCTTCTCCCTCTCCCTCCTTCCCTTCCTACCTCCCCTCCTCCTTCTCTCTGTTTGGAGTTCTCTTGTTCTCAACACTCCTTAAGTTTAAACTTCTTGGAGAGATCCTTGTTTGCACAGACTCTGCCTTCTATCTTTTTTTTTTGATATTTGCTTATCTGTCTTTTATTATCTTACTGAATTCCAGAAGGGTTGGAATTCTCTTTGTGTGTGTTGTAACTTATTACAATATTCTTGTATAGTGTATTCTACCGGAAGATCCCCACAGACATCAGACAATAGGAGTGGGCAAAACTGTTATGTTTTCCAGTGTAATGGGGAACACTTTTGAAAGACATGGACAAGATCTAATTTTCTTTACATCTCTATCTCTCTGCTCTCTTTCTTGAACATCTTAAGTACAGTCTGTGTGCCTTCTATTAAAGAAATAATAGAGCTTTAGTAGAGACAGTGGTCACTACCAACTTGAATGATCAAATTTGAATTGTTTAACTAATTGTTTTAGTCTGCTAGAAGGGGCATTCTATTCAGTGTCCTTCCCATCTTCTCAGTCATGCATTGTAGTATCCACAAAGCTTCTCTGTCAGGAGCTGCTGCTGGCCATTTTTTGCTCTTCTAACTTCACAGGACCTCTTTTTCCATTTAGCCATTTTGGCCATTTAGATTTGCACCCAATTCATTAGAAAAACTCAACTGCAGGAAGTGGCATGCAACCAGTAGCGTGTCAAGCCTCAGTCATTACATCTCTAACTAATTTCGTGGTTAGTGTTAATACAGTCTCAGGAATCAGGAGGTACAAGAGTTTAATGGTCACATTTTGGTTCAAAATATCTTTAGTGGTATGGGAAATTTTTATTTTGTTTATGATTTTGGAGGGTGGTTTGGGTTTGAATCCAAGGTCACACACATACTTCACAAATACACAGCCACTTAGACATAATCCCAGATCTAGAAATATTTTATGTTGCTTATAACTTCCCATTTAATTTGTCATAGTCTTTTAAATATTATTGCATACAGTAGAGAAAATAATTCTAAAAATATTATAAAATTATATTAGTTCAGAAACACTTGAAATTTTATATATTGACTTGAAAATTTTATCAAACTTCTAAAACAAAATCTTGTTTTAAAAAATTCACCGGACACCCTTTTTAAAACTCTGCAATATTTGCTGTTTTGTACTAATATAATAATTGTAAGTTCCTAAAATTGAGCTTGTATCAATTTAAGTTGAGCCCTGATTTATTAATCTATTAACTTTATTCACATATGTGACATGAGTTTCTTCTTGTGTTGGAGAGGGCTTTCTGTTTATTTTGTTGTGCTCAAGGTCAAACTCAGGACTTTGTGCAATCTGGCAAAGCACCTTATCCCTGCTCTACATTTCCATGTCTGGGTTCTTGTTTGCCAAGTTCTTAATTTGTGCACTTTCCTAGAAATAGCTGCAGTATTCCACCTTTTTAGTACGTGCTATTTTTTCTAGTAAGATTATATGCCTCCATTATCACATAATAGCTTAATCCACCCAAGAACACCAAATAACAATTATGAAAATCCATTGTTTCTCAGAATATGCTAGAAGAATGTAAGTAGAAACCAAAGACATTGTCATTACTATCAAAGAAACTGTAATGCCTTTAGAAGTTAGTCAACTCGTTTTCCTGTAGTAAAGACATACTGTACTGAATTGTGTTGGGCAAGTATCCCAGAATGTACAGGAAGCAGACAATACAACAGATAAAAAAAGTGAGAGTTGATATTTAGGATATTCAAGCCTCTAGCTGAATAAAAGGGAATGCTGAAATCATGATCAGAGCCAATCATTGATAGAATGTAACTTCCCTGAAAGAAGGGAGAAGAGGCTATAAGCCAAAAAGAGTCACCCCACTGAAGAGGGTTGTGATTGAGTCTACTTGCCTAGGGGAAGAAGAAGGAGGGGGCGTTGTGACCTACATGTTGAGAACCAATATTCTAAGATAAATTACTCAATATTCAGGACTTCCCAAACATTATATAAGATCATTATTCAACACTGATGCTTAATGAATGGCTACTGGGTTCCAGGGACCGTTATAAATGCTAAAGTCATGGTGGAAAACAAACAACTTTCCACTGGTGCCTGTGTTGCAGAGAGGGAGACTCATGGAAAGAGAATGGGTTGACCATACAGGAGGTAATGAGAAGTGCCAAGAAGAAAAACACAATTAGTCAAGGAGGAAAAGCATCATTTAAATTCACTCAGAGATAACACAGAGCCCTCCGTACCAGTTTATTAATTATTTTAGACTGGACAGAGAGCTCAGTAATAGAGTCCATGCCTAGCATGTGCAAGGACCTGGGATCAGTTTCTCATAGTGAGAACACAGAGAGAGGAAAGGGGAGATGGGGAAGGAGGAAGGAGAGGGAGAGAGTGAGTTTCTGCACTAGAATAATACAACCACTGAACCAAGTAAGTCTGTTTCTCATGGGTCCCTGAACAAAACACTCATTCCTGGGGTTTTAAGAATGGTTACATACATTGGAAAAAAGAGGCTGGAGCTGAACATTCCTGGAGTAAGCCAAATAAAATTTTCTCATTTAAAAATAAATTTTCTAAATTAAATCTTAAAAGGAGCGCTCCCCAGTGCTCGACTCACTGCTTAGGTTTGGTATTTGTACTGTCTTCTTTCTTGTTAACCAACTGCAGTTTACTTTTTTTCCCCAGGAAACCGTGAATTGTTTTCTTGCCTTACAAAGGACAATATCCCTTCCTTTCCATCCACCCATCTCTTAGCTCCCGCCACAGGTCCAGTGGAAGTTGCTGTTTGGAAAACAGTTCTCTTTTCTTTTCTTTGGCACCTCTGAGATGACAGCCTGTTGATTTGGGCTCCCTTACCCTCTCCACAGACATGAAGGATAGTGCATTAGTATCCAGAGTGGCAGACTGCCTGTAGGTGTTTTAGGTTCACAGAAATACTTTCAAGCTTCATTCCAAGTCAGTGGAGCAAAAATTTCCAGTGGAAAGACTTCAAGTCTTCTTTTAAAATGGAATTGTATCTCTGTAATTTCCATAATACTAACTTCAGAAATAGTTCTGAGTCAAAAGTTTTCATACCATCTGTGTAGTGAATAATAAGCCTGTTTCTTTCAGATTTGTGGATTCATGCTTACGTGTTTACTCTGATAAAATTTGTAAAATCAAATAGCACTGAATGTATAGTATACTCATAATGGTTAATTTTTATATAAGATAAATTGTTTGCATAGAAATTAAAAAATAAATTGTTCTACAAAATGGCAAGTAAGTGTGATATATTTAAAGGCACTTTAATCATAAAATATGTTCTACAGATGAGAAAATTAAGTTAAATATTTCACCTAAAACTATACAGCAATTTGAAGCAAAGCCAGGACTTTCTTCTCTCTCTGTTTATTTCTCATTTGTTTCATGGGCTTTAATGTAGCATGAAGTTTGAATACATACAAAGGGAATATAGGAACAAAAAGATGTATTCAGATCTTGGTCAATTTGGGATTATAAATAATTTCAATTATCCTTGGGAACCACTTTTCTTTCAGTCATTATCACCACTGAGTGTTACCAGCCTGCCTTTTACCCTTTGTTAATTTGCAAATGACTATGCCTAAGAACACTGGCGGAGGGGGAGCACTAAACTGTAGAACTGTAGGAGTTCACTTTTTGCAAGGACTTTAGGATATGTGGAACCCCCCTTGTGTCTTGCCATTGTTTTACAAAAATGAAAAAGTTATATCAGAATAAAGTCTTAGTGTAGTAACATGTTGAATAATTTAGTAAATATAGGATAAAAACAATACTTCATTCTACTTTTGAAGTTGGGGAAAATAAAATTGTGCTGACCTACAATGTGAGAAGAACCCATTTTATGCCTGGAAATTATTTGAACTTTTTAAATGACTGGACTATATTTTGACTAATTCAATAAAGGGCCTTTGTCACATTGAATTTATACAGGTAGAGATAATTACTGGAGTTACTTTGTCTATATGAGAATTTTAAAATAAAAAGTTTATTGGAGTACAAGATAGACAAAGAAACATTCACAAGTGATAGATTAACAGGTCATGAATATTATTAAACTATTTATTTTCTAGTTATTGTTCCTGGTGTATTTTATGCTGACTTTGCAGTCTGTACTCCTGCCACATTTACCTTCTAATTCTGCTCATTGCCTGTAGCTCCTTTTGGATGTTTGTGGATGCAATCATTCCATCTGTGAACAATGGCAACCTTGTTTATTATTCTTGCCTTATTGTCTAATAGGGTCAACAAATGTCTGTGTCTGAAACTCTTAAATTCAACTTTGACCTTTAAAAATATTTTTAGTGGATGTCTAATTATAAATTGGTAGTGTTATCATGATTTTAGGTGCAATTTCATGAGTTCCCTTATTTTAGTTAGGAAAGCATCTTGCTTGTAATTCTTTGAAGAGATACTTTAATCCTGGGTCTTAGGACTTCCTTCCTGCCTCGCTTACACTCCTCAGCTTGAGTGGTGTTTCCTAAGGCTTCGTGTCTTTCTCAAGTTTAAAGAGGTCTTGGCCATTAGTCCTTCCCATGTGGCTCTCGGGTCTCCACAGGGTCCTGTTCCTACAGACTGGGGTGGCTGCTGCGCATGCGCCCTCTGCTCCCTTCGCTCTGTGAATTCTTTTCTTTTCTCCCCAAGTTTCAGCTGGAACATTGACCTGTGTTGTATCACAGTCCTCTCCTCAGCTGTGTCTAGTGTCACTAAATCCATTTATCAAGCTAAAAGTATCTCTGTCTCTCAAATCGATACATGTACAAACATGCTAAAATCTCCACAATATAGACATCCAGACATCTAGGAATAGCCATACGTATTAGGAACTACTGTAGAGCATTATATGTATCCCTGTTCAATCATAACCCCTCTTGCCCCTAGAATTAGTCAATAACTTGAATTTTATAGAAATATAAACACCAAATAAAATTTAAACTAGAGAAGATTAAACTAAGACAACCTAAAAAATCCAGTACTATATGATTTCACTTATAAGAAATTATTTAGAGTAGTAAGTCTCATAAGGATAAAAAGAATGGTGACGTAAGAGATGGGTGAAAAAGGGCATAACAATCATTGTCTAATGGATATGGGAGTTTTGGTCTTTGATAAAGTAAGTCTTGGGGATGGTGGTGGTAGTTACATACATTGTGAGTGTGGTGAACACTCCTGGAAGTACATTAAGTCAGGGGTTAGAAAAATGGCTCAGCAGTTAAAGAGCATGCCCTGTTCCCAGCACTCGAATGGTGGCCCATGACCACCTGTAACTCCAGTTCCAGGAGACCTCATGCCTTTTCCTGACCTCCATGGGTACCGTGAACCCACCTACTGCACATACATTCAGGCAAAGCACTCATCCTCATAATATAAAAGAAACACAATTTATACTGCATGTTTTACCATAATAAAAAATTTGACAGAAACTTGACAATCATAAAAATGACTGGAGTTCAAAATTGTACCATCAAAAGGACTGACTTGTCAGCCAGTGTGCGACTGAAAGGAGGTGGCATTTGCCCAGCTTGGCACTGCTGATTGAAGCCACATTGAGAGTGTTCAAGGCTGGTCTACTCTTTGCCTTTACTCCAAAGAAAATGCGCCAACGATTTCTCTCTGAAAGCCCGGAGTGGACAGCAGGGCTTCTCTGTGGAAGATCCTAACTTCCTTGCTAGTCCCATGCTCCAAACTGCTCAGTATACCTCCCCCAGGAAAGTGGCATCAAATATTGGATTTAGATTCTACATTTTCTTTTATCCCTGCCTCCCCTTTAGATTTTGGTCTCCAAGATAATTGACTATCTACATAGCTTCTCAATCACTTAAAAAAAATTGTTGTGCCAGGGGAGGGGAGGAGGAAAAAAATTGTGCCTGCAAGACAGCTTGTAGGGTAAAGGCCCTTGCAGTTCTGCCTGACATTGAAGCCCTGGAACTTACTTGGTAGGAGACAAGACCAGACCCCTGCAGGTTCCCCTCGACCTCTGCATGTGCACTGCGGTACGTGTGCTGCCCTCCCACCACACAAACAAAACGGAGAAATATAAATAAATAAATAATAAGTAATAAGTGGTAAAATTTTCATTATTAAATTCTTCATGCAGACCCCAGTGAGTTAACCAGTTAAAACCTTCAGAGTATTAGTCATATGCAAAAATGAGTTTCCGCTCAGACTTAGAGCCGTGAGTTTCCACTTAGATTATTTCCTTAAGACCAAAGCTGGTTTTCTACAGAAACTTCGACTCCCTGGACAGCGGCAGTGAGCGTGTCTGGGTTTCTCATCTCCAACGAGTCGCGCTTGGTAACTGAGTTAGTTACCTGTTAAAGCTTCGGTAATCAGGCAGTTCTGCCTTCCCTTCAGGCTTGAAAAGTTTCGGGTACAAGGCCTCGAGGAGCTCAGGGTCGCTGCCAATAGCCTGCTCCCAAGGCGATTGATAGTACTTGGGAACAGCCGTCGTGTTAAATCTTTCTGGAGGGATTTCCTTCAGGGGTCCAGAATACCCTTTGGAGACAGAGAAAAAGTGAATAAACAGAGTGAATAAGCCTCATTTACTGAGAGCCACCTAATATCGTCCTGCAGTTAGTGTTCCTTGCTGGGGTAAGTTTATGATGAACCGTTTCTATGAGTCACCTGAAAGCTGCACACTTAAGTGGAGACATCTATAAACTCTTAAGTTTAAGGACCTCAGAAATGAAGATACTTATCATCATCATCATTTTTTAACACTTACTATTTTAATGATTTGCTTTTCCAAACCATGCTGTTTTTCCCTAGATTATAATTTACATTTAAGTAAAACTATTATTTTTAAATGTGCTTTTTATTTTACATTAGACTCTAAATAAGTTTTTTAAAAGAAGAGATAACTACCCACCATAATCTTATTGTTATGAAGTTCTTCATACACCTTCATACACGCACTAATTACCTAGTTAAAAATTTTGGCCAGGCAATGATGACGCATGCATTTAATCCCAACACTCGGGAGATAGAGACAGGTGGATTTCTGAGTTTGAGGTCAGCCTGGTCTACAGAGCAAGTGCCAGCACAGCCAGAATTACACAGAGAAACCCTGTCTCCAAAAGAAAGAAACAGAGAAAGAGAGAAAGAAAAACATTAAAGTATTATCAGTAGCACAAAAATGAGTGTATGGTGTATGGCTACTAACGACCACTGAGAGACAGAGAATTAGCCTCTCCTAAGAATGAGTGTCCCCTATTAGTTTATCCAATACAAAGTAGTCAGCCCTGAAACCATATACACACAAACAACAAAAATAGACTCAATGGATTGTATTTGTGTGTATGTATTCATATACATGTAATGATACTGTATATATACATACATACACATAACATATATATAATAATAAAGAGGCTATCAGTTTGAGAGTGGAGAGGAACATGGAAGGGGTTGGAGGGATGAAAGGAAAGGAGGGAGTGATATAATTATATTTTAATTGAAAATATATAATTAAATAAATAAAATTATAAGAAATTAACCAAGTACTCATTATATCTTAAAGACTGTACTCATCACACTTAGTTCCCACCCTAACTTGTTTTCCTTATTTTAAAGATTTAAAAAAGTCAACTCAAAATAAATTATTTTTTTAAACAGTGCAATAGTACAATAAAGAGGAGCAGACAGACAGAATCACAGTGTTGAATTCAGCCCATTGTGATCTGAAAGCTTGCTTCTGCTGCAGCTTCTGTTTGGAACTACTGAAGAACTTTGTTACCATATTAATTTTAGGATACTGTGCAGTTTAACTGTGCTTACTCGTTCTCCTGCAATGTCATTTTAGTGTGTCTATTCATGAATTTTCTCAATGTGATCAATCAGAATGCTTCTACACTAAGTTCAACAATGACTAATGTTCAACTTATTTTTCTTTAAAGATTAAATGTTAGTGATTTGGCTCATCTATATTCTAAAATAGTTCACTACCACTCTTTGAGGAAAACTCTTCAAGTGATTTTCCTATATTGTTTATTCATTTTCTAGAAGCCAACATATATTACTCATTTCATAGTTCAGTTCCATAAATTTAAAAAAATCTACTTTGCATATTACTCTTAAGATTGAATTTTCAAAGACAAAAAGCTTGCTGTAGGTTATTTTTAAAAGTTTCCAGTTAATTAATACAATTTTTCCTAAAGATCTCTCTCAGCAGGTAATAATATTTCTAAATGATACATATTAACTTAATAGGATTTGTTGTTAAAAACAAACTAAAAAAACTATGGTTTTTTTTTTTGCTTTTGGGTTTTGTTTTAGCTTGTTGATATTATTTGTTTCTTGTGAGTCAGGGTCTAAGTAGTCGAGGCTGATCTGGAAGTCATAAACCTCCTGCCTTAGCTTCCAGAGTGCTGGGATGAAAGTATAAGTCACCTACACCTGGCCAAATACATGTTTTATAGACTTATAGACAGCATGTAAATCCTTTTTTTTTTCCGAGACAGGGTTTCTCTGTATTGTTTGGAGGCTGTCCTGGAACTTGCTCTGTAGAACAGGCTGACCTCGAACTCACAGAGATCTGCCTGCCTCTGTCTCCCCAGTGCTGGGATTAAAGGCGTGCACCACCACCGCCAGGCACATGTAAATTCTTTAAGAGAACAGAAACCAATGAAAAAAGCTAATTACTGAGAGCTGCCTCCTGACCTCCACATGCACTCAGCAGAAGTCAGAGTCTCACACACACACACACACACACACACATACACACACACACGCACCCTTACACACATGTGCGCGTGGACACATTCATACACATACACATGTACACATATACACACACATACATGCATGCCCACACACAGACACACACACACACACACGTATGTATGCACCCATTCACACATGTGCGCGTGGACACATACACATACACACGTACACATATACACACACACTCTCTCTCTCACATACACACATTCATACATACACCAAATTAACTAATTAAATAAAAAGGAATACCATGGACTGTCTGACAGAATAGATAACTATTATAAATATTTTACATGGTTCTCTTAAACTTAAATTTTACTTTTGTCTTAAACTTATGAACAAAATATATTTAATGAGAAAAGCTATACCACTTAAATGCCATTTAATGAAATGTCAAGGAGTAGTATTTTTAAATATGTAGAAATTTTACTTTTCCATTGGAAGGCAGTTAGTTACCTGGTGCAATGTTCTCTGGATTTGGGGGGCTTCGTGGATCTGGGGTGTTGGGAGGAGTCGAGGGAGCTTGCTGTGAACCACCTTCCAGATTGCTTCCATCAATTTTCCCATTCTGCATAGCAATATTGTGCTGTATTTGTTTAAAAGTAGAGTGAAACTGTTAGGTACAGTAAGAGCATATATAAACTCCCATTTGTATGCCAAGAAATAAAACATAATGCCACCATATTGTTTCTTAGAACCTCAGTAATTTACATACTATTTTTAAATTATTTAAATAATTATAAATTATCACTAATTTATAACAAAGTTGTGTAGTTCAATGAAAACTTTTGTGTATGTCAGGCTACGATCTACTGGACAAAAAGTAAAACCAAAATGAGTTGAGCATTACTGTGTGTAGGACGTAGAGTTTCCCCTCAGTTTATTTGATTTCTGTTCATAACACCACTATGAGAAATCTGCTTGATTTTTAAATCTTTACCAATCTAATAAAACAAAGCATATTGGTCAAACATTTGACCTAGAGATTCTTTTATAAAATAATACTTTAGCAACTCTGAGAATTCTACACAATGTATTTGCTCATATTCATCTCCCTCCCCAAACTCCTCCAAGATCCTCCCCCACTTCCTTAAACTTCATGTCTTCCCTTCCCCACTGAGTCCAGTATGTATTGGCCAGCTACTCCTAGGTGTGGGGCTTGTCCCAGAATGTGGTCCACCAGATGTCACACTATTAAAGAAAACTGACTTTTTCTCTGTCAGCAGCAAGCACTCCTTAGCGAGGGTTGGGACCTCGTGCCCACCTCCCCTCTCCTGTGCTGGGGTTCTGTCTGGTCTGAGCTTGCTTAGGTATTGTACACACTGTCGCAATTGCTGTGAGTTTATACGTGTATCATCCTGCTTTGTCTGACAAATGCCATCCACTACTCCTGGAGGTTACAATCAATCTTCACACCCTCTTGTCCACAATGATTCCTGGGCCTGAGAAGAGGACTGTGATACAGATGTACCATTTAGGACTGAGCATTCTGAAGTCTGTTATTTTCTGCATGTTGACCAATTGGAGTCTCTTTGTTAATTGTTATCTACTGCAAGAAACTTCTTTGATGAAAGTTGAACAGTGCACTGTCCGGTGGCTATAGCAATATGTCATTAGGAATCATTTTAATGCTATGTCTTTTTTAGCAGAATAAACTAGTAGATTTCCCCCCTAGGGCCCATGACCTTTGTAGCCACAAGTTCTTGACTCTACTGATAGTGTGATACTTAAACCCAATGAAAAAGTGGTTGATCAGTCCCATAAAATTTTTGCCCGCATAGCACCAGTGGGCATGTCTGGGTAGGCCAGTCATTAATTTAATTTGCAAGACTCACAGCTGGCTGTGATTGGCTTGATTATCTCCTTTGGTAGCTTGCATAGCACCTTCCAACACTATGAAAGCTAGCCAGTAGGGATGAAGCTTCCAGTTGACTGCCAGCTAGATTTCCCCGTGTTCTCTGTGACTCAAGTAGGTGGTGACTTCAGCAATAAGATCTCACTGTCAAGTCCTAGAGGGTAACTAATAGCCTATAATGTTTTAATGAGGGTTACATGACTCTCTTTGACTGATAGTTTATTATCTTTAGATTCTTTAGAATGTAGAAAGACTTTTAAAATTCTCTAACACTTGAACAGCCATCATACATACCATGCTGGCAAACAGAAAAACATGTATTCAACTACATGGACTTAAAAGAAAGAATATGATTTTTTTAAGAAAATAAAATTTTAAATTAGTGAATTTGTTGTAGTCATAATTCAGGATTTACTCTATGGCAGCAAAATAGTACCTTTAAAAACTTTCCTTTTGATTTTATTTTCCCAGCTGTTGTGAATTAATCAGAAATGAACATACGTCAGAAAATATCTGTTGAGTCCTTTGGGCATATTGCCAAGGAGGGGTACAGCTGGGTCTTACGGCAGAACTATTTCATCTTGGTGGGAATTCTGCATAGTGATGTCCACAGTGGCTGCACTAGTTTTCAGTTCTACCAACAGTGAGTAAGGGTTTTTCCTCTACTCACACCTTCATCGATATTTGTCATCAGTTGTTTTCTTGATATTATTAGTTATACTGACCAGGTTAAGATGAAATATCAAGGTATTTTAAATTTGCGTTTCTGTGATTTCTAATGATGTTAAACATTTTTTAAAGATATTTCTTAGCAATTTTGATTTGTTCTTTGGAGAACTCTCTGTTTAGATCCATTAGCCATTTTTAACTGGGCCATTGGTTTTCTTAACTGTTTTGAGTTCTTTATATATTCTTGGATCTTACTCCTATTTCAGATATATAGCTGACAAAGATTCTCTCCTGTTCTGTGGGTTTCCTTCCTACTCAACTGATTAATGTCTTATAACTGATGAATGGATGTTGAAAATGTGGCACACATACACAATGAAAATCATGAAATTTGCAGGTAAATAATGACACTATAAAATTTTATAATAAATGAGGTAACCCTCAGTTTGTCAGAAAGACAAACACCCCGTTGGTGGATTTGTGGATCCTAGCTATGAATGTTTAGATGTGAGTGTATAACTTGGAGTAACCTCAGAAACCAGGAAAGTAAAAAGGGTCCATAAAGGAAAGGGGGGCTCTAGAGAATGAAATAGTAGTATAGAGGAGTACATTGGAAAAACAGGGAAGGACTTTAGCTGGGAAGGAGAAAGGTCAATAAAGAGGGAGACAGGAGAAATAAATTAACACCAAAAATGTTTGGAAAGATACAGAAAATAATATTATTTTATGTTTATCTAAAATGGTATATAATACAAATTTTACACATATATAGTGAAAATGAAATTATGCCACCTGGGATGATAATGCTTCTCCCCAAAGTCACAGATTATTTATCAAAACTTCCAGTGCCGGGTATGTGAAATGTCATTTTTCATTGTCAGGAGAGTCCAAGAGAACCCCAAAATGATGACGGTGATGGATTTGCCCTTGGTTGTCTCTCTGAAATTGAAGGGAAAGCACTAGTCATGGTGAAGACACCACACACTTCAGACACAAGACTTGGAGGTTAAGAGCTGGATCTGACCTGGAAGTCTCCTCTCTGAAGTCTGGTTCTCAATGTTCCAGAAGGTGCTTCAGCCACAAACAGAACTCTAGGTCCCTTACACAAGGCTATCCTCATGCATATACTTGTCTGCTTTGAATCTAACTGAATGCTTGGCCTTTTTTTTTTACAAAGCCATATATCATGTAAGTCTTCTATGAGTAGTTCCTGAATTTTTAGAGAGTAGATCATCAAATCAAACTAATTTCCTTTTGCCATACCTTCTTAAACATTGTGTTTGTTTTCTACTTTACTCTGCAGATGTGGAGAGTAACTCTTTCAAAGGTTATTTTATATTTAATTACATGCATGTGTGTCTGTGTATGGGTACTGCATGTGGGTGTAGTTGCCTACAGAGGCCATAGGGGGGTTGAATCTTCTAGAGCTGGGGTTACAGGCAGTTTTGAGCTGCCATGTGGGTGTTGGGAACTAAATTTAGGTCCTCTGCAAGAACAGTGAGTGCACTTGACTGCTGAGTCCACCCACCTTCCTCATTCTTTATCATATAGATGCTACCTTCTGTTAATTTCCCATCATGCAGTTGGAACACTAATGCTTCAATGCATGGCATGACTCCAGTCATTAGAAATTCTTTCTTATTTCATGTTGAAGACCATTCGGACTTTTGCCCAGCCATCAAGATCTCGGGCTTACCTCTTACATGTACCAGTACATTTCCAAGATCTAATCTCCCATATTCCATGCTCTTTCCTGCTCATCAATTTACTATTGCTGCTTCATCTCTTGGAATGACCATCCTCCGCTCACTGTCAAGCCCAATTCTAAATTCTCTGTCTGTCTTCAGTTTCTCTCATCTTTCCAATGTGATTGACCAGAAATGCCCCACGTCTATATTATCTCAACACTTCAACTGCATCTGTACCATTCTTTTATGACTGCTCTTATTTGATCTTGTCAAAAAGATTTTTGTTACCACATTCATGGCATTGTGAGTTCCCCCTAGTTTATAAACTTCTAAAATCTAGTTAGGCAACATTATTTTTTTTCTGTAGTTATACATAAGACTGCTTTTATCCAGGCATAGTAGCACACGCCTTTAATCTCAGCACTCATGAAGCAGATGCAGATGGATCTCTGTGAGTTTGAAGCCAGGACTGCACAGTGAAACTCAAAAAAGTTTTGAAGGAGACTTTTTAATAGTTATTAAATATAAAGCATTTACATACATATATAATTTGATGTTTTACAGTTTGAATTTAACATCTACCTCAGGTGTTTTACTTAATTTTCTATATTAATATTTTACCAACTTCAGTTGTAAATTAAAAGGTTGTTGAGATAAATGTGGTAAGGCACAAAACATAATGGATTAAGAATTGCCTTTTGTTAAATTTCTAGAAGGTGTCTATGAAATGAAGTTCACCTATGGGAACAGGTAATGCTACTCACATTCATTTAGGGATCGTGATTCCAGCCTGCTGGAAGCTTCTCCTGAGGCTTACAATGAACAGGAACATCAGCTCTGATTAGTCATTAGCAGGAAGGGCCCGGGACTTCTATTATCATAGGCTAGTGTATAAACAAAGCCCTGTGATGCTCAGCTGATGACTGATTGTGGCATAAGCCTTAAATTACAGTGTTCATCATCTGTACTTCCCGTTGGAAAGGTTGAAAAGACTAACAAAAATGTGGGTTTTACTATAACAAGGTTAGCCCTAAAGAAAACAAAATCAGAATAGAGCCATATAGGCTAAAAGCACACAAGTTAAAAGCAAATATGCAATACACATTACATGATTTCTGCAGAAATGATAAGAAAGACAGGGTTCTTTGTATACTTTACATCAAATATAAAGAAATTGTTTTTAAACAATAATAAGTATGTATTAACACTCCCAATATAGTTTGGTTTGTCTTATTAAAGAATTGGTTTTTTCAATTGTAAGTTTTTGTTTTTATATATTAGTGAACATATTTTTTGAGAAAAATGGAATGGCACAGTCTAAAATCATAACAAACAGAACTATTTTGTGAGGGAATAAAATGCCTCAGTAATTTGCAAATGTGTACTTTCTGTTTTTCCTTTTAGCTTTAAATTGTTTCTTCTATTTTTTGAGAATATAATTACATCATTTCCCCTTTCCTTTCCTCCCTCCAAACTCTCCCATATATTCCTCCCTGCTCTCTTTCAAATTCATGGCTTCTTACATCATATATATGCATATATCTCTATGTATTCTTTTTTTTATGAGACAGGGTTTCTCTGTATTGTTTTTGAGGCTGTCGGCCCAGCCCGGACTCGAACTCACAGAGATCCGTCTCTACATATTCTTAAATACGTAAATACAGCCTGCTCCGTCTGTGTAATATTACTTGAATATATGTTTTCCAGGCCGACCATTTGTGATTAGGTCGCCAATTTACATGCCCCCCCCATGGCAGAATTGCCTTTTATAGTACACTTTCCTTTGGAAATTTTAGAGAGTGTAAAGAGTTCAATATGCATTTTCAGTGACTTTTAAAAGACAAATGTGATTGTCATTAATTCTGCTTGCATTTTTATCTTGAATGCTTTTTTACTCCACAAATTCATTCCTTTCTTCTTTCTTTCCTTTCTTCCCTTCCTTCCTTCCTTCCTTCCTTCCTTCCTTCCTTCCTTCCTTCCTTCCTTCCTTCCTTCCTTTCTTTCTTTCTTTCTTTCTTTCTTTCTTTCTTTCTTTCTTTCTTTCTTTCTTTCTTTCTTTCTTGGCCTTTCATCTAAGAAGTAAATGTTTTCATGAACCAGGACTCTGAAACTGGTTCATATAGCAGCAATGCTTCTTTTGAAGAACTCATCCGTCTGTTGTTGTTAGTGTTTATTTCACACAAAGTATGTGAGACTTGAATTTGCCAGTGCCCTTAAGGAGTAGATTAAGCTCAAAACTGCATTTATATTTTCATTTTGGTGGTGCATGCCTGTAATCCTGGTACTTGGGGATGGAGGGAGAAGAATCAGGAATTCAAGGCCAGTCTTGATTGCATGGCTGGCTGAGGGCCAGTCTGGTATACAGGAGACTGTCTCAGAACAAAACAAAATGACAGACAAACAAACAAAATAAATAAAGATCCTGAATAGTAGAGATGGTGGCATTGGTTGTTGGGAATTTGATTCATGTTATCTATATGAGATTCTAAACATTAGCATAAAAAGGAACTAGACAGATAAGTATTTTTAGGGTGTCTAAAGCCCAATGGATGGGGAAAAGTAAAAGCTTTCTCCAGAAAATGTAATCAATAATTAGGTTAATGGCTCATGATGCATTAAAAGGAGACTCTGGTCTGGGAATCAGTCACTGAGGTCTTGTCTCTCCTATCAACAATGTAATTAGTTAATTTACAAGTTTCTTTGTCTTTCTTAATTTCTTTTCTTATATACAAAATATGGGATTCAAATCCTCTCTAAGATGCCGTATGACTGTACAATCTCTTTGTGACATGATTTTAATTCTAAAATATGCCTGAGGAGTATGGGCACCATATATAGTGCCATGCTCACTTTGTCACGGGAGATGACATAGTCACTGCAGTGTGGAACGTCGTTAACATGACAGGAATTTTTAAAAGAACACTTATTCCTGTCAATTAATTCATACCTTTGGCAAGTATTTATTGAGTGCCTATGATGTTGTAGATACTATGTTGGAAATTCAAAGGCAAATCAATGCATCCTTTGTCTAGAGACAATAAAAGCACACAATGTTACAAAATAGAGTAATTACTGCCTTTACAATCATTACTAGTACTTACTGCTCTGAATTATTTATCATCATTAAATTGCTTTAGCATGATTAATCATTTAGTGTCCAATTTTCTTGGAATAGTAAAATTCTTAAGTCATATCTTCATAAATTTATTATAACTGAAAACATATATAAGATTATTGTCAACACCTTAAGATAGCCCTGATGAGAAACTATACTACATTCATAAGGACATTTTTAATCCCATGTATCACTTGTTCTCAATCTGTATGTTGAAACCTTTTCACAGGGGTCACCTAAGACAATTGCAAAACAAATATTTGCATTACAATTCATAATGCTAGCAAAATTACAGTTTGAATTAGCAACAAAAATAATTTTATTGGTGGGGGTCAGCACATGAGGAACTGTATTAAAGGGTCTCAGCATTAAGAAGGTTGAAAACCACTGTCATATGCCTTCTTCAAAGCAGTAGTTACACTGTTAGTGCTTGCAGCATAAGTGGGAGTCATGAAAACAGACATTATTCATTTACTGAGATGTCTAAACTTGAAGGTGATTTTGCAAGGCTTTTCTTAATCCACCTATTTCATATTACTTCATAAAAGGTCTTCTTTGTTGTTATTCCTTGATGAATGCAGTTACATAATAAATCATCAGGTAAGTGCAGATTATTTTCAGCTCATAGTGTATTAGCCACATATTTCCTAAGAAGAGGGTATTGTGTATAATAATAGGCTAAAATAACATATTTACTCATGATTTCAAACAAAAAAACTACCCTTCGCAAATGCAAATACTATAGTTGAGTATGATTTTATGTCTAATTGAATTAACAATTAAAACTAGAATTAAGCTATAGTTATTGATTGACTATAGTTCTGGGGATTGAAAATGGGGCCTTGAATAAGCCCAGCAAGGATTAAACATTGAATTAATTCTCAGATCTCAAAAATCTTAATTAAAGCCTGGCATGATGGCACGAGCCTTTAATCCCAGTTCTTGGGTAGAAGAGGTAGGCAGATCTCTGTGAGTTCAAGATTGATAAACTTGGTCTACACAGAAAGTTTCAGGTGGCATAGTGAGGCTTTATTTGAATTTTTCTTTCACTCAGTTGTTAGTAAATATAACAAGGAAATAAGTAATAAATAAGTAAAATCATTTTACCTTAACAGTTATCTGTATTTTATGAACCATCTTTTCTACAATTTCTCTCAAAGATTGTTTAAATGATTATGATGTCAACACATGTAAAATCTAATTTCTGTCATCTTGAGAGAAGTTCTCACTACATAGTCTAGGCTGGTTTGGAGCTCGCTATATAGCCCAGGTTAGTCTCGATCTTGTAAATAATCCTTCTATTCTGCCTTCATGATGATAGGATTATAGGTGTGCAACACCACACCTAGCTGTAAAATATAATTTAAAATGTTAAGGTTTTGATGTTTACTGCCCAAAGAGTTAGGTCCACGCTGGCTTTGTCATGACCATGTAGAATAAATACTTTGAGGCGAGACTGATGGAGTTTGCAGTTCTCAGCATTGGCAGGGCCGGGATGTACTCAGCAAAAACAACTCTTATCCTTTCTTTGTGGTCCTCTGTGTACCTTGGGAGTGTTCCCATCACAAACATTGAACAGTAGGTGATAAGACTTGGAAACATCTAGTACCAATTCTCTCCACTCATTCTCCATCCTCCTAGCAGAACAGGACAGCTCCTCAGTGCCAAATCTACAGCTCACAATGTCCCTATTGAACAAAAAGCATTCTCATATCATACATAATGCCTCATTTATTTAACCACCTAAGCTATTCACCATCCTGAATAAAAAGGCCTAATAGAAACACCCAAAAGAAGATATGTAGAGCAACTTGTTTGGGAGCCTGGTAACACGTACCAACTTAGGTATGCTGTTGTTCATTTAGATACTCACAGTCTGGTTGTACCTACGTTTATTTGTGCTTTAGTTTCATACTGGAAATTTTCAAAGGTATATTTGTCAGATCTTCTTTGACGCATCTTAAACAGTCTGGCACCACGATTACTGATATGAGACAATTCTTCTATCATGATGTCTCTGGGGATACTGACTTTTTTGCCCAGGTTCATGCCATCTACATCTGAAAGATATTTACATTCATGAAAATCCAAAAGAAAGCATTTCAAAATACTTTGCTAAGTTCTATAATTTGTTTCCTGCCCTACATTATAGTAAGGGATTGAGATATGTTTCAGTGGGCTGGCACTGAGGTACATCCTGGATGCAATGAGGTACAGTTTGGTAGTGCAGGGTCACATGTGTTGCTTATTTTGTCTAAACCTCCATGTCCGCATCTCTAATGCTCAGATAATAATAATGAGAATACTAATTATTGCAAAGGGTTGGTATCAAACATAAATTATATTGAATTAAGTAAAATATTTCATATAAACTATTTAGCATGTTAACAGGCACATAGAAAGAATGAATAAAAGTTAGCTGTCATAAATCTTGGCACAATTTAGGCTTTCCATTTAGTGACTTTTCAAACAGAACTGCTTCATACTCATATTAATACGCTTTGGTCTTCTCCCCACATTTCTGTTCATCAGTTTGAGCTTTGCATGCTCCTTCCAACCCACCGTCTGGTCTCGAATAAATAGCATTGATTCTTTATATGGCACCAACCTTCATAAAGGGGGCAGGTAAGAAAAATGGAGTGGACATCTTTCCCAACAAACTCAAATGCCGCTTCTGTCAACCACTGCACTAAAGTCTATATATGATTAAAATTACTAATGCTTTTGTTGTGTTCAAAGAACTGAATCATAATTCTTTTATGGTTTGGATTTTCACCTGGTTTTAATTTCTTATGTACCTTTTATTGTAAATAATGAATGTTATTTTTAGCTGTGAGTATGGGTGCATGTCTGTAATCCCAGAAGCCAGAAGTGGATGCAAGACAATTTTGAGTTCATAATCAGCTTGAGTTATATAGCAAGTTTGATGTCAATTATGTTATATAGTGATATTCTATCTCAAAACAACAAACAAACAAGACAAAAGATTGTTATTTTCTATTTCTAATACTAAAGAGCTTTCCCATAATTCAAGAGAGATGAAATTCTTCTACTTTCTTCTTTTGTTTTGAGTTTATTTGGAGACAGAATTGCAGCCCAGGCTAGCCTCCAACTCATGCCGCTCCCATGGCAGCCTTCTCAAGCTCTGAGCTTGTAAGTGTATTTCACCATGCCCAGCACCTCCAAGTGCTTTTAGAATCCAGAATATATTTCTGTATAATGTACAAAATCTCTTTGCCACTGAAAAGTTTGGTTACATACATAGGAAGAAAAACTATACTGTTAGGCAAATAAATATTTACTTTGACTGACCAGACAGAAGCTATAGATGACATGATAAATTAACTGTGAAAATGAACTTTGAGGACTCAGCAGGATGACAGATAGAATGGAACAAACCAAGGGAGTTGATGCAGGGATTATGCCCTGGATATATGCAGAAGCCGAAGGATGAGACCTCACAGGCCATCTCTGATCTTTTCATATATGTAAACCACTGAAATTCCTTTATTGTTTACCTAGCTGCCTTCTGCTGTATTCAACCAAACATGAGCTAACTCCTACTGCTGTTTTCCCTACACGCTCTTGCTAATATAAGAAGAAACTTTGTGTTAAACATAGAATCACAGCCAAGAATGAGAGGAGCTGGAAGCTGATCTAGGAGGCCCATGGCAAGGTCCTTGATAAACAAGGCGAAGGGGAGTTATTAGGAAAAAGAAAGATTTTTCCCCTAGCTTTAGGCTCATTGGGTTCACGAGAAGTAGTTAACTCCTTTTTAGCAACTTACTACAAGCTGCCACGAGGAATAAATGTGCAATCGGAACTTACCAGCCCTCAATGGCAGAGCACAGAAAGGAATTATCAGCAAAAACAATCCAGTGTTGCCTTTAAATTTATACCACAAGAACACAGAAACAAACAAAACAACAGAAAATACTTTACAAATCTCAAGTTCTTCATTACCTTCTAGTCTTAGTGTCTCAATGTTAATTCCCCCTTCCCACTCCACAGTGGCTTTGAATAACTGAACATCTTCCAGATGTTTGAGCTCAGAGGCATTGCTCAAAAATCAAAGTGATGTTCTGGGACACATACTGTTTCACAAACCAGACTAATAAATTTTCAGAAATTCTACAAGCCAGCAATTACATAGTGGATACACCATTGTTAGAAGCAAGTGATTAGTTCGGTGTGGTGATACAGGCCTGTAATCTCAGCACTCTGGGAGTGGAGGTAAAGGATCAGGTATTCAAGGTCAACTTAAGTGCAAGATCAGTTTGAACTAGTGTGCATATGCACGCATATACACACATACACACACAATATATATACATATACATATGCACATGTATATGTGTGCATATATATATGCATATGATGTTATGGATGTATCTCAGTGGTAGAGCACTTGCATATTCCTGTTGTCTTGCATTCAGCAGTCAGAGGCAGGAGGATCACAAATAGAAAGCCAGTCTGAGCTATAACAGTGAGACCATGGACAAAACCCCAAAAGTTCCTTAAGTTTCCATAAATGTAAAACTTAGACAAATCACAGCAATAACTATCTAAAAGGTATCACTGTATAAGTTGCTAGATACTTTTGCTATTATCTATATGGTCTTGAGGTTATTCATATCCATTGTAGGTACATGAGGAAAATCTGAAAATACTACAGTGCTTGCCATAGCATTGCTTTGTAAGTACATAGGTGGCATTGCACTGTTGCACATGTCTTCCCACACTTTATTTAGAGCATCTATGACAGGAGCTTGATGTTGGCCATGGTGAGAATATTCATAACACAAAGCGTGGCGAACTACCAACCAAAGCATCACATCCTCCAGTGTCAGGGATATGTTAGACAACACTCATCCCATAGACAAACAGCAAAAGATAAGCTGGATTCTCAAGGCTTAATTCCCCTCCCCTTTAAAGTGAAGGTGATGATGTCACAGGAGTCCAGAGCCATCTGTGACCAGCAAATCTAGTGATCACTCTCATTACTCAAAACTTGCGGGTGCGGAGTGCTATCTACTACTGTGCACACAGATTCCAAGCTCAGGAGTCCCTGCCTTTTAGTGTAAACCCAGCACGAGATTTAATAGTGTTTTTAATCTCAGTGCCCTAGAAATGATTCGTATCGTCACCCTCATGACTTAGAAGGTTGTCTTTGAGGCATTAGATCATCCATTGAAAATAAAATTACTAGGCATACTTTCCTACTGCCGTCATTTATAGTAATATGGAACTGTAGTCAGATCCAGGCATCAAATCCACTTACCAGCAATTGTAGTAAGACCAAAGTCAGAGCTTTAAAAATCGCTTCCTCATGCCTGTCAGGCAAATGCAATCTTCATAGAATGTATAAACCATGGGAGGAGAGCTGGCAGAAGCTAATGTTACTTAGGTGGTCTTACTGATACAGAGACAAAGTTTTCTGCACTTGCAAAGGACTCCATCTACAAGTGATAGTTCATAAAAATCTGTCTTCTTATATAGTGTAAGCCATATATCACATAACATAGACATCATAGTCCAGCCTGTGATCTTGAATAATGTTTGAAAATTTTTCCAGCTAATAAAATTTTACTCATAATTTTTTCAATGAATTTGAAATCTATATGAGAATCTTTGTGTTCCTATTTCAGATATCTTCGTGTTACTTAGGGGGCATTTTGTTGTTGTATGGCTTTTTGTTTGTTTGCTTTTGAGATGGGGGTCCCACTATATAGATCTGGCTAGCCTAGAACTTACTAGGTAGACCAGGCTACCCTTGAACTCACAGAGATTCACCTGCCACTTCCTCCCTAGTGCTGGGATTAAAGGTGTGCACCCCCAGCGATGGCTTTCGATGTAAGTTTTAACACTACTTGTAGCCGGGCGTTGGTGGCGCACGCCTTTAATCCCAGCACTCGGGAGGCGGAGGCAGGCGGATCTCTGTGAGTTCGAGGCCAGCCTGGTCTACAGAGCGAGTTCCAGGACAACCTCCAAAGCCACAGAGAAACCCTGTCTCGAAAAAAAAAAAAAACACACTACTTGTAAAGATTTCCATTAAGGTGTGATTAGCTGTGCAGTTCTGTAACTATTTAGGAAATCATATTACCAGTGTTCTGAGTTGCATAACAGATCATCCAGTTTTGCCTGTAGGTTGCAGAACAGCCTGTCGCAGTGAACGGCATTGTAGAAGTTCAGGGGTGTGATCAGTGTGAAATCAGAATCAGCCTCACTCTCTGAAGGACCTTGGTAAGGTCAAGTACTTAGAAACTGAATCCTCAATGGGTAGCTACACACCATTTTTCAAAATAAAATATGCTCTATTTCCCCTTGAGATTATAATGGTGCTAGTGGGAAAAGTTCAAGAAATATCACAAACCCCAAAACTGAATTTTTCCCTCACCCCAAGTTTTGAGATATATTAGGTTTTTCCAGCGTTACCATTTTGATATTGACAATATAAAGAGAAAGACAACAATCCCCAAAGCATATGACACCAAAGCCCTCCCATAGCGGAACAGGAAAACCTTCTGATGGCCCCATCGCTTGCTTTCTCAATTATCCCTATACCCCTTTGTTTAGTCTTCAGGTTTGCAATGAGTTGCAGAGTGAGCAAAGATTACTGTTCATGCTGGAAACCTGTACAGATTCAAGGTAAACTGCACAGGGCTCGTGGGTAGGGGACTGTTATGAACTGTCTTTTCTTGTCCTCACAACTAATCCATGTGTAGATGCAGACAAATGACTTCTCCAGTCTTGCATCATAGCTTGCAAACGTGGCTGACATGCTGCTGTGTGAAGCATGGAGGCTGTTGTTACAACAGTAACATAGGACCCACTCGGTCCTCCTGCCAGTAGGATGACAGGGCTCTACCGTGGTGAGGCCGATCTGGGTGGAGATACCAGGTAATAGGAAACGCTTTGTTTATTCTCTCTGTCTTTGTCTGTGTGTCTGTGTGTGTGTGTGTCTGTGTGTGTGTGTGTGTGTGTGTGTGTGTGTGTGTGTGTGACATGCTTCTGTGAGTTTGTTTTTGCCTTCTACCATGTGGATTCTAGAGATTGAATTCAGGTTCCAACCTTGTCACCTGCCTGCTGAGCCATTTGGCAGGCCCTAGATACTTTTATCAGCTCTTTGCCGGGCATGTGATATACGCTCTTCTGGTGCATAACGGGACACCAAATTACAATGGGCCCACAATGAGCAACAACATGGGCGTAGTAAATGGGAACTAGGGATTTAAAAAACTCTTCTATCCCGTTAACTCCATAGTCTATATGGGTAGAATTTCTCACCAATTCTTTCAGGCAGTTTGTCCTTCTAATAGTAAGAGCGATGGAATGTGAAACGCTCCCTCTTATGTTTCCCTACTCATCTCAAAGTGTCCCCAGCTGTGGTCTCAGCCCCACAAGAACTGCAGCTGGCTGAACGTCATTCATTATTATTGTTTCTGGAGTGTGATAATAATAACACATGGGTTATAATGCTTAATTTTGTTCTCATGTGCAAGGAGACCACTGAGTCTTAAAATTAAGATCAGAACTCTAGCTATATCAGCTTACACTATCCAGATGTTTTACAGCTATAATATGCTTTAAAATATAAAGACTCATCCCCACAATAAATGTTTCTCTGAAGTCCATATCTCATTTCTACGTCCTTAAAAAGGTGACATTCCTCAGCTATAGTGCTCTCTATTCTCTGCAGCATACAGATAGTTAAGTTCCATGCAAGACTCCAGAAATTAAGTATTTTTCCTGCTTCATAATATATGGGGTTTTTTTATATTGGATGAGTCTGATTATCCAGCTTATCTAGAATATTCAACATCATAAAGCCAAAGCCTAGGGCTCCTTCTCCTACAAGATGAGCTCATCCAGTATTGGAGGGAAGGCCTTCTTCATATGACAAGACTTCCTGGTGGAGAGGCTGTAGTGTTCCCCGTTGATATATGTGTATTTTCTTTATATTTTCTAAATATGAAGCTTTCAATTGTTATATTTATAAAAATTATAAAGATATAATTTTACAAAAAGATATAATTTTACTCCCATAGATATAGGCAAGCAAATGTAGAGTAGAATCTGACATAATTTAGAATGAGATTATAGTAAATGGATTTACTTACGATTATGATGTAATTGGATGGGGTCAGTTGTGTTCAGACGATTATGATGATGATGTAATGGAAATGATTTATTCAAAGCCTAGTCTTACAACAAACCATTTAGTCTCAAACTTAAGTTATCATCTGATTTTTTTTGCCATATTGACTAGGAAAGACACACACACAATTTCAAGTAAATTATCCAAAGCAGGACACCCAAAGATACATGCAAATTTAAACTTAATTGATATAGTCTGGTAGCTAGACCAGAAATATTCTCATCTTATTATAAATGAATTTAGCACGAAAGTAAAGCTGGGAACCAATCAGAAGCCAGCACAGTGATTTAATAGCAAAGAGATTAAAGGCGAGCCGTACCCTTTCAACATGGCTGTGGTATGTGGCCGGTATGTAAAACACTTTGATTGGTAGTTCAGCTTGCCTTACGGAAGGGATGATGTGAAACCCTACACTCATCATGGTTTCCAGATGTCTCACCAGGTTTCATGCATCTAGATGTAAATATTGTCATGGTGCAGGGCTACATTTGTTGTAAGCTGAACGAAAATAAAAGGACACCCTGCAAATTCCACAAGCATGTCTGGAATGGCTCAGATCAGCCCTAAAACGGACCTGCATATTAAACTCAAATTATTCATGAACAAAATGAATTTGTTTTTTTAACAAGTAAAGCATAAGGCCTCCCAGAATTACTTGCTAGGATTTTAAAACAGTGACAATATTATTTATTATTGGAATAATATCTTACATCTATCATATATTAAAAATTAAGTTTGTTTTGATGTTAGAAGACCTATTTTTTTAGAAAGCATAAGTAAAAGTAGATTTTGCATGCAACATAGGTTAGCAAATCAATTATTAAATATGAATACTGGTATCAAGTTTAAACAGTGAATATGAACCCCTATGCAATCAGTTGCTTTGTTTTGTTCTGAAATTTTTAAAGGCTGATAAAACATATTTTGAATTTTTGATGTAACACAAAGTAAAAGAAACCAAGATAGAGCAAAAAATACAGGGCTGTGTGAACGTTCTCTATAAACAAAAAGACACACAAGCATCATGCTCACTGATAGCGTGAGGGGCAAGCAGGTGGAGGGAATGCGCATCAGCTGTCGGCTGGCTGCATGGCTTCTGCAGCAGTTGTTCATCTGAAAATAGCTTTCAGATGAGAAAGGGTGACTACAAAGGATCCATTACCATAGGCTGTTCTGCGGTACCCCGAGAGCGGCACTTTGTAATGGTGGGTAGGAAGTATTTAAGGGAGTGGACGATAGACTATTAGCATCAGAAGGGACCTATATTTCATGCTGTGTTACATTAAGACCATGAAGAGCTTTCAGTGATACCGTTTCCATGGATCTCCTTTGTGATGGCTGATGCTTGCTGTTTCCTTTGCTTCACCATGACACTATGTGAAAGCATGGCTTTTTTATTCCCTGTTGAAAATAAAGGGACACTGTTGAGGCATATGTGACAAATCTGTTATGATCATCCTTTCTGCAAGAGAACATCTTTCTTCTTTAATAAGAATTTATTTTTGCTTTTTACTGAATGGCCAACGTACGCTGCTTGTCTACAGTACACATTTTTCAGCAGCAGCCCATGTCCCCGTGAACAGAGGGTGGCACAGTCTCAGACCCAGTCCTTCAGTATGTTGACCACTACGCATCGAGAAACATTCAAAGTGCCAGGCTCCTTGCTGTCCCCTCTCTTCCCTATACTTTTTTTTCATCTGCCAGTGCTTCTGTCCTGGCTGCAATCCCACCAGCATCAGAGGACATCACTTCCAGCAAACACTAAGAGTGAGGAAGAGGCCAGACTCAGCCAGAACTATTTGGTGGTAACATTTCAAGTCAGCATCAACAGCTTCCCTTTACAGCAAAGAATGGCCATTTATGAGTCACAACTCTGGATCTCTGGGGACAACTGACAAATAAGACATTTTAGGAAACAATACACTCACCTTGCTGCTGGACTGCACTTTTCAGCAGGGCTGAATCCCAATTGTGGAGGAGCACGCTGAAGGTGGAATATGATGGCACTTGGGCCTGATGGGTTTTATCCTTGAACCTGGAACGGCATGGTCCCTAGCTCTGACTCTAACAGGGGACTGAGCCTCTCTGAAGAGACTGGCATCCAGCTGACATCAACTGACTATATATAGCACCAAATACTTTAGCTACTCATATCTTCCTGGCGAAAGGGAGGGACAGGGAGAGATTAGGTTCTCTCTATTGTGTTTCTGGCCTCTGAGATAGCTGAATGAAATACTCATTCATTGGGTATGAAGAACATTTTTATTGAACACCTTCTGTTGGATGGATTTTAAAACATTTTTGATTCTTGAGAGCACGCAGACCCTAGTCATAAAGCAGGGGAACCAGCATTGGATCGAACCAGGCCCTCTGGATGTGGATGCCAGCTAGGAGGTCACGGCAGTCTATGGAAACTCTAACAGTGGAGTCACTCTTTATTCCAAGGTCACAAATGGACTCTGGAAGCCCATTCCCTATGGAGGGATACTATTGCAGCCCAGATACAGAAAAGAGGGGCTGGGCCCTCCCCCAAATGATATGATGGACTTTGATGATCCCCGGTGGAGGGTCTCACTGTCCCTGGGGAGTGGGTGGGGGTGGGTTGGGGGTCTGTGAGAAGCATGGGAGGATGGAAGAGCAAGGGAATGGAGTGATGGATATGTAAATAAGAGTGTCTCTAAAATAAAAAATGCAAAAAAATGGGATTCTTGTTCTATACCTTAATTGAGGTGACAAGAGACATATATTAATTAGAGAAAAATGATGGATTATCCAAAATCAAAATGAACTGTAGGGGTCCTGGAGAGATGACTCTGTGGTTAAGAACACTTGTTGTTCTTGCAGAAGACTGGGGAAGAATCCCAATCACTCACATGGTGGCTCACAGCTCCCTCAACTCCAGCTTCAGAGGACCTGACACATCTTTTTGGTCTCTGTAGGTACCTTCATGCACCTGCACACATGTGTACTCTCTCTCTCTCTCTCTCTCTCTCTCTCTCTCTCTCTCTCTCTCTCTCTCTCACACACACACACACACAGAGAGAGAGAGACAGAGACAGAGACAGAGAGAGAGAGGGAGGGAGGGAAGTAGGGAGGGAGGGAAGAGGAGAGAGAAGAATAAAATAAACGTTTTTTAAAATGAACATTGTGGACAATATCCATGGGGCCTTGTCAAGACCAAAAGCTGTGATGAGTTGGTCAATAGAGCCAGCCATAATCAAAAAATGACAATTGTTTTTAACAACAGGCAATATCTGAATGGTTACATGAAGAGAGTTTAAAGTTGGCCATTATGGGTTGAGTCATAGAGCTGAAGGCTTCTAACTGGTTCACATTTTGGAAGGCATCCATAGAGGTTATCCCGACAAAGTTGCATGCCCAGCATTTTCCAAGCTTGAAGGGAAGGATTTATACTTTAAAGAATGCTAGCAGGAAAAGTCCTCAGAGTCAATCACCTTGGCTTCCTTGTTGGACATTGATCACAAAATCACGTTCCCTTCTCCTGCGTGATATTTTCCTCTTACTCTTCCCTACTCACCTGGCTAACTTCTTCACATGTTCAGGGCTCAACTTTAGAATTAAGTCCCCAGCCATCCTGCCTGCATCACACGGTACCACAGTTTCCTCAGTGTCTTGAAATTAGTCAAGACTAATATCACATGGGAGTGAGTGATAGAATCACCCCCCACTGAAACAAATGACCAAATATGAGGTAGAGTTTTGTTTGTTCCCCAAGGAAACTTAACTCAGAGTGAGGAACCTAGGCAGGTCTAACTGACCTAACTGAACTTGTCTACCTTCTTTTTGCTGCATTATTCCTAAGATGCAGACTTCTGAGGTCTAGGTGATTGTTAGCAGCTAGCAGGCTTCTATGTTAGCCATCAGGGGTAAAAAAAGGAACATTCCCTCTGCCTTTGAAGATGTCTGAGTATTGTTCACCCCTCTCCTGTTTACACCCATGGGGGCAAAGGTTAGTCATACAAACACACACAAAATAAAAGAGTCATTTACTTTTTAAAAAAGGAGGTAACAGTTTCAGGGTATCAGTTCCCAGTATCTGCCCCAAGAACATTAAATTAAAAGAGCAGAAATGAGATTTAACACACACACACACACACACACACACACACACACACACACTGATATAGACTGTGAACTTAACACTGCAGATTAGTGTTTCTCTCTTACAGTTGCTTTTAAGCAAACATTTGCCCAGAAACAATGAACCAATAAGAGATCATTTAGTTAAAGCCAACAAATTTGCATTCATCTCAAGATCCTTTAGTTAGCTGGTTGAATGGGGTTGCACGATTGCAATCAGCCCCATTGCCAGAAGTACGTCAGCCTGGGTCCCCAAAATGATAATCAAAACCAAAACCAAAATCTTTCCATTTTCCTTTATTCCTGACTCTAGCATTAACTGTTATATCTCTTAAACTCGTTTTCTTATCTGTAAAATGAAGATTACAGTATCTGTTATATAGTCATGAACAATTTGTATAAAAATTTTTAGAAATTCCTTAAAGGTAGTGAAAACTTTAAAAGTGTTTGTTTTACTATTGTTGTCCTTATAATATGAAAGAACTTAGGATAATCAATTGGACTATTTAATAAAAATAAAGTTAGATTAAGAAAGTCCCAATTTTCCTACATACTCATCTTGTTTCCAGTTTTACATTGGATATAGTTATAAGGTTGAAACCAATACTTTTGGAAATTTATGAAGTATTTTAGAATATTAATAGTTTAAATGTTTCTATTTAGTTTTCAAACATAATTCAAACTACTTTGTTTCATTTGTGATGGTTCAACTGGCCTTTTGGTTTCTGTTACTTTTGTTGGAAAGACAAAAGTAAATCCCTGGAAAACACAAAGCAAATCCCTGGTGTTGTAGATTTTAAGGCAGTAAATGTTGTGCACACATTTCATGACACAGTGGAGAGCTTCACATAGCATTTGGGTGCTAAGATGAAGTATTGCCAGGTGTTTGTTCCATTCTTAAAGGCTTCTGATTTCAAACAAAGTCATGGTTAATCTATTTCTATTTTATCTGTACACACATCTGACACTAGACCAAACTGTGCCCTGCCCTATGTCATATTGTCATTACTCTTTCGTCCGTAGCCCCCACCATTCCATCCCTATGGCCCAGGACTGGCCATGCCCCTGCCCCACCCCAACACACTAAAAAGTAGAAAAGGATCTCCTCATAATCAAGACTCCCTTTTGTCCCACTAAATACTGTCTTCCTTGGAGAGTCTTCCAAGGTTTGTTCCAACAAAGCTGGGCCTTCTTTTCCCCCAAGTTCTAAACTCTTAAGTAGTCTCCAACTGATTCAAAAGACAGAAAAGGAGACTGTTTTCCTTAATCAGCATAGTGATGGCATTCTAGTGGCTAAACCCAGTGTCCTGGGAAGACAGGGAGTGGAGCCCCTGTGTAGTCTTTGTGATACAGCTACAACTCCTGTGTAGTCCAACCCTTTCCATTGTATGGACTAGCCACATCGGTATTTCCAATCTTACCATTTGCTGAAAGAGCAGAAAAGGTTAAATAAGGTGATTTTTCTTACTACCCAACAAAAATCCACACCTTGAGACCCATGAAAGGCAAACTTATTCAACAGTGGGCAAACATGAGCGCCTCAGCCAACTGGTAAACAAGGACTGCCATGGCCGACTTTAACTAAGAGCTTGTTTTGAAATTCTGTATTTCTCCTTGTCCTCTTTGCAGACTATATTGGGCAACAGCGGGAAATTACACATTCAGGCAGGATTTGAAGGGTGCAGGATGTGGGAATAGCCTGGTAGATGGGCAAATATCACATTACTGTCACTGAGGCTTGGGTTCAGATTGACACACAAAAGTCCCAAACAGGGCAGTAGCCACAGCTGTGCTAAGGGGTGACTCAGACAACAAGTTGTCAAGTTACTTGTAAGGGAAGAAAAAATCAAGCCTTAGAATAAGGGAAAGATGGGGAGGACGCAAAATCCAATGATCAGTTTGTCAAAGACGGAGCTAAAGGAATAGATCTTGGAAACCAACTTCACAGCTGTGCAAACAAGTGAAGGGTCTATTCATGAAACCTGGATTTTGGTTTGCCTGAAGTGCCCTATTTTTCTTTTTGTGGTGCCTCACTGGCCTGCTGATTCGCCCATGGTTGCCATTTCCCTACCCAACCTCTCTCCTGGCCATGAAGAAAGCTGAGTACTCACCGCCCACCCCACAGGCCAATGTGGGGGTAATTCAAGAGACACAGGTGAATTTGAAAGAGATATCATTCTGGGCAGTGGTACCAAACGCCTTTAATCTTGGCACTCAGGAGGCAGAGGCAGGTGAATCTCTGTGAGTTCGAGGTCAGGCTGGTCTACAGAATAAGTTTTAGGACAGCCAGAGAAACCCTGTCTCCAAAACCCAAACAAAAAAAAAAGAGAGAAAAGGAAGGAAGGAAGGAAGGAAGGAAGGAAGAAAGGAAAAGAAAGATCTCACTACAGAAAAAGCCTAAAAGCAATGGGAATGACGTGAGGCACAATTACAGGCACCACTGAGGTTCTATTTGCTATTCCTAGAGTGTTTCAAAGAAATGGAACTGGGGACTGGGACAATCCCTACCAGGTCATGTAAGTTTTATGAATTGGTTTTGTCCGATCCAAAGGCTTTTCATTTTTATATGATTTATATATTTTTTTATTTCTTTGCAGTGTTTTAAATTTATTTTTTACATTCCATTCCCAGGTCCCCCTCCTTCCTCTCCTCCAGCTCCCCCGACTCTCCCCTCCTCCTATCTGCTCCATGGATAGGGTAAGGTCTCTCTTAAGAAGTCTACTAAGTCTGTCCCATCATCCTTTTGAGGCAGGACCAAGGCACCTATCCACCCCTACGTCTGTGTCTAGATGGGCTCCACTAAGTCAGTGTGTGCATTAGTGTTAGATCTTGGACCCACTGTCAATGGCCTCATATAATGTCCCAGTTGCACCACTGTCACCTATATTAAGGGAATCAGTTTAGTTCAGTCTTATGCAGGTTCCCCTTTGTCAGACCTGAGTCAGTAATCTCTCACTAGCTCAGCTCAGCTGATTCTGAGTTCCCTGTCATGGTCTTGACTCCTTTGTTCATGTTATTGCTCCTCCCTCACTTCAGTTGTACTCCAGGAGCTTGGCCCATTGGTTAATTGTGAATTTCTAAGGCTTTGCATTTTTATGCTATCATGGAGAGATCTCTATTTTCTTAGTCTTTTCTGAACATCTCTATAAATAAAGAGAACAGAGAATGCTCAGAAAAATTATAGCAATGTGTTCCTTATAGGTTTCCTTGGGAATCCTGAAACCCCAAGACTAGGTTTGTCTTGTTGAGGTGATTTTTATTTATAATCTATGCAACTGTTTCCTTACTTATGTTTTTCTGGTTTGCCAACTCCTGAAGACTTCATGGTATCTATTCTCAATGAGCTTTCCTTTTTTTCAGCTGTGCAAATATTGAAGTTATTAAAACAGGGAGTGTAAACAAATGAAGGTGAGATCATTTTGTTTTTCAGCCCCTTCCTTCTTCTCCTGGCCTGGGTACCACAGTCCCACAAACACCTTACGTTGAGAACAAGCATCGAGTCCTGTTCCACCAAAATAACCCATTAAGGGAACATGCATGCCTCTTCTGTCTTCCTTTGCAAGCTATTTTTGTTTTGATTTTTCCTTTCTTGCTTAATCCCAACATTTCAGAGCTTTGTCATGCTTTCTTCTGCAATCCTAGCCAGGCCATATTCTGTACAGATTAAAACTATTGAAGGGCTTTTTAAAAATATACTTATTTCACCTATACAAGGAAAAACAATTCATGTCTTACATACAGATCTCAACTGACCTAATTAAATATAAATTCATTGGAGGAGTCAGACATTGTGATACATACCTAGAATCTCAGCAACCTGGAAGCCTGGGCAGACTCATGAATTCAAGGCCAGTCTGGGCTGTCTAAGTTAGGCTGTCTACAAAAAATAAAAAATAAAAAATAAAATCCAAAAAAATAAACGAAAACAAAAAACTAAGCTATGAAACTTGGGAAATAGGTCAGAGGACCAAATTCTTGCTGTGAAAGTGTGAGGCCCTAAGTTTGATTTCCCAGAACAACATAAAGGTGGCTTTGGTTGCATCTGTCTTTAATTGAAGCTCTCCTCCACCAAGATGGGAAGCAGAAACAGAAGAACCCCCCAGAAGCTTTGAGGCCAACCAACCTGGCACATGCAGCAGAGAAACAGTAGAACCCTTCCTTGAAGTGGAGGGCAATGATCTCTGACTTCTACACACATGCCCCACCCCCTACAAACCTTTCTTATTTTTGTAACCCTCACAGACAGGTGACACATGTCTGAGTGTCTGTAGCATGGCTGTAAAATGGGGCTGTAAGATTCTTAGCCATTTTATTACCATCAAAATGTTAGTATCCGGCGGGGAGGGGATGTGTGTGTGGGGGTGCTGGTAGGATGGGAGGGAGGAAAAACCATGGTTAAAAAAAAAAGTTAGTGCCGGGCAGTGGTGGCACACGCCTTTAATCCCAGCAGTCTGAGGCAGAGGCAGAGGCAGATGGATCTCTGTGAGTTTGAGGCCAGCCTGGTCTACAAGAGCTAGTTCCAGGACAGCCTCCAAAGCCAGAGAGAATCCCTGTCTTGAAAAACAAAACATCAAACTGCGAAAAGATGTGTCATCTTAAATAATAGCTGAACCTTTTAGCAGAAGAGGCACGGAGATATTCTTTTCTGGTGTTAAAGACTGCACAGAGAGAAAACAGTACAATGTGTCTTTTAACTGAGCAAAAATAAATACAACTTGAGTTGTGGTATTAATACATGTGGGGTTGCAGAGAAATTAAGCATCCAAAATGAATGGTGGAAGGCTGGCATATTTGGTAAACATTTAATCGTTTAGTTAATATTAGATCAGAATGGGCTGGGTATAAAATGGAAGTAAATGGAAACTATGCTGAGGACTCAGATATAGTAGGGTTTGAATTATCAATTTTTTAATTTAGGATGGTACACAAGGAATACACATCTGACAAGAATATATCATGCTTTGGATTTTCATCTTTTGTTTGTCTAGAAATAGGATGCATGATGCTGTTCTGAGGTGCAGGTTGGTGGCAGTAACCTTTACAGCTCCAGGTAGACATTTGATTGTGAGTGGAACTAACATGGCTATGCAGTGTACTATGGTGCTAAGCTTAGGGTAATAAATTCATCTTGCTTTATTTTCCCTGTATGGTAGGTTTATCAGGATACAACTCAAGGGGTGTTTGTATTTAAAAGGACCATTTTTGACTTGAAGGAGAGAGCAAGTTTCATTCCTAGAAAAGAAAGCAAGTTGCACCTGTGTGTGATTATCAAGGCACGTTTTTTGGAGCTGAAACAGGAAGAAGTGATATGAAAAACAAAACGCCTAGTAGTCTGATATTTCAGGTAGTTCGTGTCTGAGGCTTGAACCGTGGAGAAAACAGACACTGTGATGTCTTATTCCCAAGTACATCATTATACTTATGTAAAAATTTACAGAACTGTAGCCTCAGCTTTGGAATCATGAAAGGAAACAAGAGGGGAGAGGCTTGAAGAAGATTTGACATAAGGGTTTTTCTCCTTTTATTGAAAATAGATTTTTCTTCTCCTGTAGTATATCCTGATCATGATTTCCCCCCCTCTACTTCTTCCATCCCTTCCTATCCAGATTCAATCCCCAGAAGAGGTGGTGTTTTTCTTTTTCTTTTTATTCATTAAAAAATATACCCCTTAAAGGATGATTCAGCCAGTCTTGTAATGAGGTAGTCTGGGCCAGTATGGAAGGAGTGACCTCGGTAGGGGCACAGACTCATTCCGGGGCAGGTTTCCAGGGGCTTAGATGACTCTCAGGACTAGATTGGTGTCTACTACCAGAGGGAGCTAGCATGGAAGATGGCTCTAAAAGATCAGTTAGGACTAAGCTGTGAGCATTCTTGAGTGATAAGGAATTGTCTTTTACCTCATAGGCAATAAAAGTCACCGAAGACTATATGACAGGGATGTTTTATCTTGCAACCATGGCAACAATATGGAGACTAAATCGAGTACAGGCATTGAGGCCACTCGGAAGTTGATTGCAGTAGCTCAGAAGAATAATTTTAGGGAATAGCTGAAAGAATTTGGGGGAGGGGACTGGGTAGGGTTTGGAGATAAATCATTTTATTCTAAAATATTTGCTCTACTATTTTGCAGTACTAACTGTTATGGACTCCGTGTGAAGATAGATGTGTCCCCCACCCCCCAAAATAAAGAGAATAAATTATCCTTAAGACTTACTGATTATAAACCAGGTGTTGGTGGCACATGCCTTTAATCCAAGCACTTGGGAGGCAGAGGCAGGTGGATCTCTGTGAGTTCGAGGCCAGCCTGGCCTACAGAGTGAGTGGCAAGACAGGCTCCAAAGCAATACAGAGAAACCATGTCTCAAAAAAAAAAAAAGAAGACTTACTGATTATAACATCAGTGGGAACTTAGTTTAACCTCTAAGAAGCTCTTGTTTCTCATCTTTAACCCACAGGGTTGTTGTGAAGATTAGAAGATATAGTTTTCTCTGGCATTAAAAGTAACCTGGAGCATGGTGTTAATATTGCCTGGATTACTAGGACAAAGGGAAAGCTTTGGGCCTTAAATGATGAGAAATGTTGCTCTGTGCAATTTTCTTTTTATTGGCAAAGCTTTGTTTCTTAGTTATAACAGAGAATGCAGCCTTTCTGTTTATATTTTGGTTCTTGCATTAAAAGGCTAAGCAAGACAGAGTCTTCCATAGCAAATGTAACTGATACCCCGGTCAGGTCTTTGAAACTGAATTGATAGTTGATCAGAAACACATGTGAAGATGAAGAGTGATGCTATGATAGTGTCTCAAGACCACGATTCCACCGTATTCATCTCTCCCCTGAGGCAGTCCTGTTTCCTGCCAGGCTCCATCAATTGACTTGGCGCTCCTGAATTGGGGGGGGGATGAAGACACTTTCCCCATTTAATGCCTTTAATCTTCGCTTCCTGTTTCCTTAAGATCAAGATCCAAAGTCAGCCACCAAAAGGAAGTGGAAGCCTGGCCTATGACATCTTTGGCTGCTTTCTCAATTGCTGGTGAGTCATACTGCTAGAGTCTTTTCTTAACAATTCCGCCAGCAACAGACTGGCTTTCAAAGACCTCCTTCGATACAGTGTTATGTGGGTGAGTGGATTTGAGGACACAGTTGGGTAAGCCCACCCTGACCTAACTGGGCCATGTCTATCTCTTCTTACAGTAAAGGTGCTACCTAACTCAGCAGCCCTTCGGATTCTTACTCTTCTTAGAACTCATATTTTGTCTATTTTGTAGCACTTGCTATTCTGCACCTTGAATATTTTTGTGTTTTTAAAATATATAACACTCCTATGAGGTAGGTCCTATTTTACACTCCACTTTATGTATTAAGAAACTGAGAAATAGATGAAGTGATTTTCCCTAAAAAACATTAGTGTGACTAAAAAAAATCCCATGAGTTCTAGAGTCTGTTGGTTACTTTGAAAGAATGATTGGTGTGCTTGCCTGTGAGTCCCAGCAACGTGGGAGGCTAAGGCTAAAGGACCATTGCAAACTCAGGGCTGGTCTGAACTATGTAAAGAGGCATGGGCTACAGAGTAAGACACTGTTTCCAAAAAGTCATCACCATGGGGCTTGGGAAATAGTTCAGTAAGAGCACTTGTTGTGCAAGCATGGAAACCTCATTTTAAAACCCTAGCAATGGGCAGTCCTGAAAATGTACATACAAGTAATATTAAACAGACTAAGCATTAATATATTTAGTAATGCATGTATGTATATAGGTATGCAATGACAATTAATGACAAAAGAGGCCATGAATTTGAAAGAGATCAAGGAGGGATAATATCGGAGGGTTTAGATGGAGTAAAACTGGAGAGAGAAGTGATGTACTGTGGCAGTTTAAATGTAATTGGCCCCTATAATCTCATAGGGAGTGGCCCTATTAGGAGGTGTGGCTTTGTTGGAGTGGGCATGGCCTTGTCAGAGGAAGTGTGTCACTGTAGGGGTTTTGAGGTTTGCTGTGCTCGGGATACCACTCAGTGTCAGTCTGCTTTCTGTTGCCTGCAAGATGCAGAGCTCTCAGCCACCAACATCACATCAGAAAAGAGAGAAATAATTTAAAAATCCTAGAACCCATGTGGAAAATGTAGGCATGGTCAGGCATGCCTGTATACAACCCAAGTACAAGGAGGTAAGGGTGGGGGTTGGGAGACAGGTGGATCCTAGGAGCTCACTAGCCAGCCAGCCAGCCCAGCTTTAGGTTCAGTGAGAGACCTTGTCTCAAGAGAATAGAGCAGACAATGATGGAGCAGGACACTTTACATCCTTCTCTGGACTCCTCAGGCACAGACACGCATACATACACACACACTCCAAACTGTAATAAAATTCGTTATAATAATTAGGCCTATAGCTATATTTAAAATAGTTTTTAAAATAATGAAAATAAATAATAGTAGATGCTTAATTCCATATCTTTAGTAAGACGTGCACAATTGCAGTCTGGAGAGGGGAGTAAAGCAGAATATAGTGGAGCCTTAGGCTGGCCTCAAGCTCCATATCGTAGCTGAGGCTGGCTTTGATTTGTAATCCTTCTGCCTCCACTTTCATAATGCTGGGGTTCTTGGCACTCACCATCATGCTTGGTTCAATGGTTACAGTTTAAAAACTCATTTGATACTGATGACAACATATGAGGAAAACAAGAGAAATTCATTTGTCTTCATTTTCTTCCCACTCCCTCTTTCTCTTCTCCCATCTCCCTCATTCTCTCCTTCCTTCCTCCCACAATCCCTTCCTTCCTGTCTTGTTTTTTGAGAAACCATCCCACAGGCTGGCCTGGAGACCACTGTGTATGTAGCATAGGCTGGCCTCGACCTCTCAGTCATCATTTTGCCTCAGCCTCCCAAATACTGGGATGACAGGCATGAGCAGCCATTCTTGCTTTGCCCCATTTTAACCAAGGAAAAGAGCATCAGCAAGATGAAATCACTTACTCAAGGTTGTGTGGCCAGGCTGGGGCAGAATCTCTGCCCAG